TACTCATACTCATACTCGTACTCGTACTCATACTCCTCCTCCTCTCCTCCTCCGCCCGCCTCCTCCCCCTCCTCATATTCCCCCTCCTCATACTCCCCCTCCTCCGCCTCCTCCTCCTCCTCCTCCTCCTCCTCCTCCTCCGTCCTCCCTCCTCATCCTCCTCCTCCCTCCCCATGCCCCTCCTCCCCCATCCTCCCACTCCTCCTTGGATGCCGTTGCACCTGGGCCGCAGGGTGCCCCCGCAGGGTGCCCACGTCCGCCGACCCCTGGGAGCCCAGGGCGTCGGTTCCCTAGGCTCGGCGGCGGGCGGGACGGCAGAGGGGGCGAGCCTTCCCAGAAGGCGGCGGGCCCTCCGAGCCTTCAAAGATGATGGGCCGATTGTCCACCACCACTACCATCGGTAGGAGAGGGAGGAGGAGGAGGAGGAGGAGGAGGAGGAGGAGGAGGGGGAGGAGGAGGAGGAGGAGGAGGAGGAGGATGGAGGAGGAGGAGGAGGAGGAGGAGGAGGGGGGGGAGGAGGTAGGAGGAGGAGGAGGAGGAGGAGGAGGAGGAGGAGGCGAGGTAGGAGGAGGAGGAAGAGAAGACGAGGAGGAGGAGAGGGAGGAGGAGGAGGAGGAGGAGGGAGGGTGGCGGATAGAGGGAGGGAGGAGGGGGGAGGAGGAGGAGGAGGGGGTGAGGGGTGAGGGGGGGAGGAGGAGGAGGAGGAGTGAAGGAGGTAGGAGGAGGACGAAGGAGTGAAGGAGTGCAGGAGGAGGAGGGAGAAGGAGGAGGGGGAGGGGGAGGGGGAGGAGGGGGGGGAGGAACAGGAGGAGGAGGAGGAGGAGGAGGAGGAGGAGGAGGAGGAGGAGGAGGAGACAGGCCTTCCCAGAAGGCGGCGGGCCATCCGAGCCTTCAAAGAAGGCCCGCCCCCTCCTCTCAGGTGATCGCAAACATGGCTCAAGGGGGCGTGGATTAGCGACGGGTCCCGTTTACATCGGGAACCGCGGATTTCCGCCGCGGAGCGAGGCGGCACCGGCCGCATTTGGAGGGAGGACGCATCCATTTTTGCGCGCCCCCGACCTCTGCCTTCCCGCCCAGGCGCGCCGCCGAAAAATGGGCTGGCACAGTCAACCCGCATAAGAAGGATGGGCATCCTCCCCCAGGGTGCCCTTGCATCCTTCCCTCCTCGGTCCATTCTTGGCCGCTTTCTCTCGCCGCGCCCCGCTCGAAAAGCTTCGGGATGGCCTTCCGAGGCCCTTGCCCCCTTATCTCAGGAGGGAAAAAATTACACACAGACGCAATTCATCGTCGAGTCCCAAGAAAAATATGGGAAAATATGGACAGTGGTGGGGGGGAAGACACAAACCCAGAAGATATGGAAACATATGGGGCATCCTGTTATTTGTGTCTATTTGTTTGTGTGTCCCAGGGCACCTTTGTGTACCGCGACCTCCCGAACCTCTCCCCGGGGCGCGCTCTGTCCAGGTCGAGCGCAGCCGTGGCGACGAGGGGCGACGGCGGCAGCGGCAGTGGTATCTCAGGAGGGAGAAATATATACAGACAACTAATCGTCGAATCCTAGGAAAATGTGGAAAAATATTGGAAGTGGGGGGGAAGACAAACACCTAGAAACTATAGGAAGAGATGGGGAATGTATTCATTTGTGTGTCTCAGGGCCCCTTCAGTATCTCTCATCCTCTCCCGTTGGAGCGCCGCCGACAGGCCTATGGTTTTCGGACCGTACCTCTAAGTCGGGCTTGTCCCTCTACAGGAGGAATCTCTTAAGATAGTTACAGAAACATAGTCTGGGGACGATGTTTCGGGCACTGGTGGACCATGGTTTCGTATTTCTGGACTATGCTTAGTTTCCCCTCCAACATACCCCTGTAGGAGGACAGGCCCGACCCAGCCACAACTCGCTCCCCTGGCAGCCGCTCGGGGCGCTCTGGGCGCCCGCGGACGCCTCCCTGGCGAGGCGCAGCTGCTGGAAAGCACTCAGCGGCTGCAGGGCCGCCGAGAACCTGCGAAAGCGCCAGCCAAACTCGAGCCTCGGGAGGAGGAGGAGGAGGAGGAGGAGGAGGAGGAGGAGGAGGAGGAGGAGGAGGAGGAGGAGGAGGGGGGGAAGGAGGAGGAAGGAGAAGGAGGAGGGGAGGAGGAGGAGGAGGTTGGAGGAGGAGGAGGAGCGTCTTCTGAACTGCAGACCCACCGGCCCCGACCGCTTCCCTGGGCCCCGTTCTGCGCCCCCGAGCCTTCCTGCATCATCCCATGGGGCCCGACAGCCCCCCCTCCCCACGATCGGGCCGGCGTCGAGAAGGGCCCGCCCGCCGGTCGCAGAGCCACGGCGGAGGACCGCCCGGAACCCACGACCGCGCCCGAGAACCTCGACCCTCGAACCCCGGGCGTGTCCCCCGCCTCGCTGCGGACCGCCGCGGCGACCGGCCTCCGCGCCCCGGCGGCGGCTCCTCGGCCGGCGGCGGCCCGCGGCCAGCGGCAGGTCGCGCAGCTCGAGCACGAGAAGCAGGCCGCGCGGCCGCCCGGGGCGGCCCGCACGGCGGCCGCCCGACGGCGGCCGCACGACGGCCGCACGGCGGCGGCCGCACGGCGGCGGCCGCACGGCGGCGGCCGCACGACGGCGGCCGCCGCACGACGACGCCGCCGCACGACGGCGGCCGCACGCCGACGGCGCACGGTGGGCGGCGGCGGCGGGCAGACGGGGGGCGACGGGGAGTTCGGGCCTCGTCTCAAGGTTTTTTCGGGGCGTGTCGGGCGGGGCCGGGAGGAGGAGGAATCCAGTCCAGAGCGGTCCAGAGCGCTCTCAGAGCGATCCAGAACGCTTTGGGAAGGCCGCGGCGCACGATACATGCTCCAGAGCCGCCGGATTTCAGAGATTCGATCTACGTACCCTCCCTCGAATTTATCCTCGGCCTGGCTTTCGTCTTAGCCTGGGGCGCTTTCCATCGGCTGCGCCTCGTCGGGGGCTTTCTGGGGGTGCCGGCATCGTCCCCGAACGGCCGCCAGAGAGCCTAGTTACAACTCGAAAACCATGGGGGACGGGGACTGGCTGAGGTGGGGTACGCATCGACCCCAAGTCGCCAGTTTATCGCCGATAGTCGGAGGAGGAAAAGGTACCCTTGCCGCTCCCGCTCCCTCGTGTTCGCCTCTTGGGGCCTCCTGGGTGGCCCTCGCCGCCGCCGCTGGACCCGCCTCGCAGTACTGGCCAGACACCATCAGGGAGAGGTCCAGGGAGGGGCACCCTGCGTATCGGAGGGGCACCTCGAGTATCGGAGGGGAGGTGTCGGCACCTGGAGGCCTGGCCAGACACAAGCAGGGTGCAGCGGCATCGGCACCTTAAGAGGTCGCCCCAGATGGGGACCTGACAGCACAGCCCGCCCACGAGCGTGCGGGCTCGCCATCGGGGACCCCTCGCCGAGCCGTCGGCGGCGCATCGCCGATCCCAGGTCGCCGTCTCGCCCCCCTGTGAACGGGCGAAGAACGGTATAAATTGAACTTTTTCGCTTTCGCATCCCGAGGCTGGAGGAGGACAAGGAGGAGGAGACGGAGGAGGAGGAGGAGGAGGAGGAGGAGGGGGAGGAGGAGGAGGAGGAGGAGGAGGAGGAGGAGGAGGAGGAGGAGGAGGAGGAGGGCGGCCGCTGACCCTGAGCCGGCCTCCCGTGGGCTTTCGGGCCGTGGTGCGGGCCCCCGGCGTCCCCTCGGAGCGCCCTGGTCACTCCTGGAGCGCCCTCGGCGAGGCGCAGCCGCCGAATTTCGCATCCCGAGGCTGGAGGAGGAGGAGGAGGAGGAGGAGGAGGAGGAGGAGGAGGACCTTTGGGAACAGATGAAAGCGCCGAAAACCTTTTTCGACCTTTCCTCGATCACCGGTCGAGATCTGGGTGCGGGGATCGGTTCAGTAATTCTTGCCCTATGGCTCAGTCGGGCGTGTCCCTATACAGGAGGAGTATTGGAGAATAGCAAAAATTTGTATGGGGACGATTTTCGATTATTTTTGACTACTTGGGAGTATTCTGCTGTTGAAAACCATCGTCCCAAATACGCCTGTATGGGGGACATGCCCGACACAACCCTATGCTTGTCCCTGAGTCTTTTCGCTCGCCTGACCGCACGACGACGCCGCCGCGCCGACGGCGGCCGACGACGGCCGCCCCACGACGGCCTCGCGACGATGGTGCCGACGCCGCCGGCCGCACGACGACGGCCGCACGACGACGGCCGCACGACGACGCCGCCGAACTGTGGCCCCGCGGAGCGAGATTCAGGAGGGAAAGAAACACACAGACACAACTATTCGTCGATTCCCCAGAAAATATGCGAAAATATGGGAAGTGGGGAGGAAGACAGAAACCCGGAAAATATGGGAAAATATGGGGAATCTTTTATTTGTGTGTATTTATTTGTGTGTTTGTGGGCCCCTTCAGAGATGGGTCCTTCGTGGTGTCGTCGTCTTGCCCGCGGCCAGGGGTGCAGCACCAGCCTGGCCGCCCCGGGCGCCCCGCTGCGGCCCCCCCGCTGCGTGAGCGCGCCCGTTCCCTTCCCCCTCCTCCTGCGGGCGCGCCTCCTTACCCTCCTCATCCCCCTCTCCTCCTCCTCCTCCTCCTCCTCCTCCTCACCCTCATGCCTCCTTCTCTCACCCCTCCTCCTCCCTCCTCTCCTTTCCTCCTCCTTCTCCTACTCCCTGCCTCCCTCCCTCCTTTCCTCCCTCCCTCCCTCCCCTCCCTCCCCTTCCTTCCTCCTCCTCCTACTTCCTCCTCCTCCTCCTCCTCCTCCTCCTCCTCCTCCTTGTGCCTACGGCCGGACCGAGGCATAAGGCCGAGGTCGGCTCGGGGAGGGTGCGCACCCTGATGTCGTTTGTGCTGGCGCGTGCTCTCGGGCATATCCTGGGCGAGGGTGCCCTCGGGCGTTGTGCCGGCTGGGCCGGCGGAGGGCCTCGCGTCCTCGAGCGACGCTCTGCCGTCTTGGGTCCGCTCTTGCACCTCTGGCACTCGCGTGCCCGGCGTGCCTGCGTGCTCTGAGCGCGGCTCTTCCTTTCCCGGCCCCCGCCTTTTTTCCAGGAGGGGAAAACACACACAGACACAATCGATTGTCGATTCCCAGGAAAATATGGAAAATATGGGAAATGGGGGGGGGAACCAAAACCTAGTAAATATATGAAAATCTGGGACATCCTTTTATTTGTGTGTGTGTGTGTGTGGGTTTATTTGTGTGTCTCAGGGCCCCTTCATGTTTGGCCGCCCCATTCTTTGCGCCGAAGTGTCGTTTTCGGGGCGAGCGCCCCTCCCGGGGCTCGATTGGCGTCTGACCTCTTGTGCGGCCGCGGTTCAACACAAGTGCTCGTCGTTTCCGGCCTCCTTGGGCCCTCCACGGGCCCCAGGATCGTCTGAACATTTTTCGGGGTGGTGTGCTGGTCCTGGACAAATGCTCCGGGATCCAGGACCCGTTTCCCTCAGGACCCGACTGTTCCAGGCCTACTTAGACGAGCCGCCGTCGGCGATCAGCGAGAGTGGACAGCGGCGTCGCCGTCTCCAGTCGCCGCCGCTATCGTCGCCGCCGCTTCTAAGAGTGGATTGCGAAGGCCTTACGGCCGTTGCCGCCGACCCTGAAGATGACGAAAGACAACACGAGGGGGGGGGCAGGAGGAGGAGGAGTAGGAGGAGGAGGCGGAAGGGAGTAGGAAGGGTGAAGGGGGAGGAGGAGGAGGCCTTATGGATGTTGGCTGGGATCTCGTGGTTGACCTCTCGGGGGCGTCTGGAAGGCAACTCGAAGCCTCTTGGGGGCCGTTGTGGGGCCTCTTGGGGCCTCTTTTGGGCCTCTTGGGGCTTCCGGAAGCCGTCTTCGGCGCATCTTGGGGGCGTCTTGGCGCCGCTCGGGGGCCTCTTGGGGCCTTTTGGGGGCCTCTTGGGGTTTCCCGGGGGCCTCTTGGGGCGGAAGTCTCGAATTCTCGGTTCCTCGTCCCCCTCTTGGCCGTTTCTTGGGCCCGTCTTGGGGCCCTATTGGGCCGTCTTGGGCGCCTCTTAGGCTGTCCTGGGGCCTTCTTGGGCCGTCTTGGGGCCCTCTTGTAGGCCTCTTGGGGCGCTCTTGGGGGCCTCTTGGGGGCCTCTTGGGCCGTCTTGGAGTGTCGGAAAGCCGAAAGGGCGAGAAGGCCAAAATCATTCAAAAACCTATGTAAAATTGACGAGTTTGGCGCCTGGGGCCCTCTTGGGTGTGCTCTTGGGGTTCTCTTGGAGCGTCTTGAGGACCTCTTGGGCCGTCTTCGGGCCGTCTTGGGCGTCTTGGGGCCATCGTTCGTCGAGTCGAGGCCCTCTTGTACCCTTTTGGGGGTGTCTTCTGTCGCTCTTGGCTCGTCTTGAAGCTTTTCTGAGCTCCGGGACCCCCCGGGGAGGATGCGTATCTGGGTGGCGACCCCCCCCGGCGACCCCCCCCGGCGACCCCCCCCGGCGACCCCCCCCCCCCCTCGGCGGGGAGGGTAGGGAGGGGCTTCGCCACGACTCAACTACGACGTTGCTCAATGTCGCTTTGGCTCGCGCGCTCAAGGAGACGGGGAACGACGAAGACGACGAGGGACAACGGAGACGGAGACGACGAGGACACGACGGAGACGACGACGACGACGACGACGACGACGACGACGACGGTGATCCACGTAAGACGACGACACCGGGATGCGTCTTCCACGCGCCGACAGGGTCGGCGGATTTTGACGGCATGACGTGGTTGACCAAGACTTACGAGAAGACGTCCCCGTCTCCCTCCTCCTACCCCTCCCTTGCGTGCTCCTTCTCCCTCTCCCCATTTCTCGTGCCCCTCCCCCGCCCCTGTCCCCAATGGACAGAGCCATCGAAAAACCATAGTTGCAGAGGGTTGAGCCCCATCGCCATGAGCATGGCAACGTTGGGAAAACATAAAGACTTCTTTTTCCGGTGAAAATACATCACCCCACCCCAAACATGTATCACCTAAAATGAGATCCCCTTTCGGATGAAAGCGTGGTTTTCGCCCCATCGCCGAGTACATTCGCTCTGAAAGTCCGCCACTGTTTGACGGATGGACGGCGGGTCCTTCTTCAACATTTGTCCATCGCCGTCGCGTCGTGCATAATTATTCGTTTCTTGATTGCAAGAACTTCACGGATGGAAGGCGGTCCGTATCAGCACGTGGTTATCACCTGAGCGCCGCGCTCAGTCGTCTTCGACGTCTGCAGGAGATTCACGGATGGACGGCGGATGCTTTCCAGCATGCGGCTCTCGCCATCACGTTGTGCCCGTTCGTCGTCAAGGTGTCCAGTCGTCTCGCGGGTGGAAGGCGTGTTTCTCTTCCCCCAGAGCGTGGTGGAGAGAGAGCGAGGAGGAGGAGGAGGAGGAGGAGGAGGAGGAGGAGGAGGAGGAGGAGAGGAAGGAGGAGGGGAGGGGGAGGGGGGGAGGAGGAGGAGGAGGAGGAGGAGGAGGAGGGAGGAGGAGGAGGAGGTGGAAGGCGTGTTTTCGCACCGCGCACTCAAAGCTTGCAAGAACT